ATCTGAACCCTCGGCGGGAGCGCCGCCACACTCCCAAGCGGTGCACTGTAGCAGTGCGCCACCGGGCCGGCCCCAGACATTTTATGTTTTTATTGATAGTTAGAATTATGCCTACAATTTTACTTTTTCTTTTTTACATATTTTGTTTTGTTTTGTTTTTATTCCCTTATTCCTCATTTACTGTTTTCTTTTGCATTAAGTGAATATTTTCAGTATAACATTTTAATTCTTTTAGTGAGTTTTTCACTACACTTTTTTTGAGTTATTTTCCTAGTGGTTTCTCAGAATACATTTCAGATTGATACTAACTTCACTCCAGTGAGATATAATAATGTTACTCCTGGTGCTGGTTGGCTAGCTCAGTTGGTTAGAGTGTGGTGCTGTCACCAAGGTCCAGGATTCAATCCCTGTACTGTCCTGCCACCAAAAAAATGAATAAATAAAATAATAATAATGATGATGATGATGATGATGACCACCATACTCCTATATAGCTCTATTTCTTCTTCCTCCTTTATGTGTGTGTAAAAATAAAATAACCCCAAAATACATTATTATAATTATTACTGTATATAATTTTGTCTATTAAGAAACTGAGAAAAGAAAGAACAATTATATAGTTTTTTATATTTACCTTCTTTATTTATCAGACACCCTTTCTAATATTCTTATTATCTTTCAGATATTTACTAAGTGCACAAGTATTTATTATACCTGGTTGTTTATATACATTTTATTGAAAATTAGGTTTAACATTAGTGGAATAAATGTATTTTCCTATGTATGAATTGGCAGTTCTTGTCCTTGGCCATTATATCTATTGAGATTTTCATATTTATTCTTATCAATTTGAAGAAATTTTTTATAACATAGCTTTAATCACTGTCATACAGTAGTCCCCCCTTATCTCCAGGAAATACATTCCAAGACCCCCAGTTGATGCCTGAAACTGCAGATAGTACCAAACCTTGTATATACTGTTATTTCCTAAGCATAATACCTATGATAAAGTTTAATTCATAAGTTAGGCATAGTAAGAGATTAACAACAATAATAAAAAATAGAATAATGATAACAACTGAGTGCGGTGCAGGCGCAACACCGAGGGTTGCGATCCCGTTGCCGGTCCCCGGTACGGGCGCGACACTGAGGGTTGCGATCCCGTCACTGGTCAGTAAAAAAGACAAAAAGGAAAAAAAAATGATAACAATACATTGTAATAAAAGTTATGTGAATGCAGTCTCTCTCTTTCAAAATATCTTATTATACTACATCATGGGTAACTGAAACCGCAGAAAGTGAAACTGTGGAGAAAGGGGGACCACTGTATTCTTTTTTTAAAGATGACCGGTAAGGGGATCTTAACCCTTGGCTTGGTGTGGTCAGCACCACGCTCTCCTAGGTGAGCTAACCGGCCATCCCTATATGGGATCCGAACCTGTGGTCTTGGTGTTATCAGCACTGCACTCTCCCGAGTGAGCCACAGGCCAGCCCAGGACCACTGTATTTGACTTAAGTATTTTTCCCATTCTATTTTTTTATTGTAGAAAATTAACCTTTTAACTTTTATTGCTTCAAACTTCAGAACTTCTTGTCATTCCAAGATCTGAAAAAGATTCTAGTTTTTTTTAGTTGTGAAAATAAAAAGATATTTTTTTATATGGGCTCTGGAAACATAGCTAAACATCTTTTTTCTCCTTTTTTACAAAATGAACCTCTGCATTACTTACTTTGGGTTGTGCTAGAGATGCAGATTTGTGCAGTGAAAATCAGAGACACAAGTCATCTGTGGCTATAGGCCTCAGCTTGGGCAGGTAGTGATGGAGACACTGGTTAGTGCTCTGGGGCTTTAAATTGCACACTAACTCTGCTTTGCTGATGAGGGACAACATACCTGACCATATCATGCAAAATCATCTTACAAACTATGCACTGTCATGGAACAAATCATTTAATGCTATATTTCCATACTGCTGTATTTCCATACTTGGCCACCCTGCATATAATGTTTAATTCACTCAGATCATATTTTGATGGTGCTATGATTAGTATTTACACTGATGTTCCTATAAATTGCATACCAGTTTTCCCAACACTATTTTTTTTTTCTTGGTTCTTCAAGAAAAACCAGCACTATTTATTAAAGAAAAAAAAAAAGATCCTTTCCTTTAGATTAGAGGCATGACAGTTAAATGCAGCCCCCAATCCTAGACTAGATCTTATACTAGAAGGAAAAATAATGGCATAAAGGATAATAATATAAGTGGTCAATTGACAAAACTTAAATATGGAAGCAGATTAGATATATGTATATTAAGGTTAAATTTATCAAAATTGATCATTGTGCTGTGGTTATTAAGATATTTCTAGTCTTAGGAAATACGAATTGATGTGTTTAGGCTGAAGCATCATGATATATGTAACTTATTCTCAAACAGATCCCCAAAAACCCAGAAAATGAAAAACAGAGCAAACACTACATTCATGTATAACAATGTTTCTCAACTGCAGGTGATGTGTTCCCCCCAGGGGACATTTGCTAAAGTTTGGATACATTTTGGGGAGTTGGGTACTAACGGCTTCTGGTGGGTAGAGGCCGCTAAACATCCTACAATGCACAGGACAGCCCCCAACAATAAAGAATTATCATTTGGCTTCAAATGTCTACAGTGCCAAGGTTAAGAAACCCTGATATAAAGAAAGCAAATGAAGGAGCAAGTGGGTACAATGTCACCAACAGATGTGTCCACGAGGGGGGATGTGGATGCTACTTTGATTTTTCTTAATCTTGTATCTTTTCTGTAATTTGGAAATTATTTCCAAACAGAGTTTTCTTAAACCTCTTTTAAACATATTATGTTGTGATGATTACCTTTTTATACAATAAACCTTTTGCAGAGAAGAGCAGACCTATTTTGGGGCTCTCTATTCTATTCACTGATATATATATATTTTTTTGCAGTGCCACATTCTTTTCATTTCTGTTTCTATATAATTCTCATCCCATTATCAAGACTAAAATTTCTTTTTTTTTTTTTTTTTTGTCTTTTTTCCGTGTCCGGCAACGGATCGCAACCCTCAGTGTTGCCCCCGTACCGGACCGGGGACCGGCAACGGGATCGCAAGCCTCGGCGTTGCTCCCGCGCCTCGCTCAGCCAGTGAGCGGGAGCCGGTCTGTATGTGGGATCCGAACCCTCGGACGGGAGCGCCGCCGCGCTTCCCAAGCGGCGCACTATCCAGTGCGCCACCGGGCCGGCCCAAGACTAAAATTTCTTGGGCTGGCCCGTGGCTCACTCGGGAGAGTGTGGTGCTGATAACACCAAGGCCCCGGGTTCGGATCCCGTATAGGGATGGCCGGTTAGCTCACTGGCTGAGCGTGGTGCTGACAACACCAAGTCAAGGGTTAAGATCCCCTTACCGGTCATCTTTTTAAAAAAAAAAAAGACTAGAATTTCTTTTAAAATATATATACATATATACAAGTACATATGCATACTTTGATATCTTTGTTTGCTTTTTCCAAATTAATTTTAACATTCTTTCTTTTTTACAAAAATGTTATTAGGATCCGGGTGAATATCATCTCCTGAAGACTCAGAGTAGTGAACATTTCTCGTGACATGATTAAATCAACAAAGTACATGAAAACAGTTTTTAGGAAATTAACTAGTCAAGGCATTTTAATATGTGCACATTAAATGTGCCACATGCAAAGATCACAGGGTCAGTTGTCTATCTGCCTGAAGATCTCTCTGGGGAATGGGTTGGGGAAGCTGGAGGAGTGATTCCCTGATGTGCCCTCCCAGCTTTCCAGGGCCATCCAAAATGCAAAGTAACACCAAGCCACATGTGAAAGCAGGCATATATCTGGATAAGAACAATGTGCTACAAACACATTTTCAAAGCTTCACATGTAAAAAACATATATGTGGTTTTTAGGCCACAGAACTTTAAAGCCTAAGTGACTTTAAGGGGTAAACATAAACATATCCATCTCAGACACAGTTCTCTGCAAGGATTTGGGGTCTGTCTATAATACGGCAGAAAACCAATGTATCCATGAGTGAGAAATTTAGATTTTATTTCTCTTCTACCCAATCTTTGTCTATCATTTCTTCAAAGGTATAGCAGAATATAAATAGGTTCATGAGAGCATATGTGTTGAGCTACTTAATCAATGTCTGGCAAAATCATTTTTGTAATAAGCCAAGTTAATAAAGAGAGACTCCATTTGTGATGTTTGACGGCTGGCAGCCTTCAAGTCCCCACTCCTCCCCTTTCCCCTTTGTTCCACATTGGGCAAACTGATAAGAAAACCTGCTCACACTCTGATCTCTGGAGTCCTTGGTGGCCTGGTATGGGCAGAAATTCCAAACACACAAGCCCCAGCCTGAACAGGTGAACCTTCACCTGGCTCACCCCAAACTGCAAGAAAAACCCCAAACCCCCCTCGCTCTAGCCTCACTATGGATGAAACCACAGCCCTTCTCAAGGGATCCATTTGCTGTTGGCTGTATGAATCATAAACCCTATTTCACACTCATTGGTGCCTGCATGTCATTTGCCTCAACCTCCGTGATTTCCTGGGGTGAGGTAGGGGGCTGCCCAGCACCCAGCAAGGGATGCTAAACATCCAAATAAAACACCAACAGACAGACTCATTTTGCTTAATGATTTCTCAGAATAACTTGCTGAAAAGACTCTATAGTCTTTAAGAAGGTTTCCACGATAAAGACCAGGAGAGTGGTAGCAACAGATTCATGGCTATCCAGGAATATGTTAGAATTCAAAATATGCCAAAGCAAATTTCTAAGAGAAAGTTTAATAATTCACAGAATGACATTTGAAGGGATAACAATAAATGATAAAGAGTGGAACACTGAACACCTACCTTCAGCTATAATTTTATTTTTATTATTTTAAGAGAAACATTTAAAATGAAAAGTTTTTTATATCTAAACTACACATTAAATATCAAAACACAGAATCTTAGCTCTCACCCAAACGGCACTCCAAGGGCACCCAGGGGAGTCACCAGGACCGTAGGGACTGCTGTGTAAGCCAGGAAGTTTCCAATCTGGCCAACAGCCACTGCCAAGAGAATCACAAAGATACCACTTGCATTTATAGAGCTCTCCTTCAGTACTGATCACAGAGTTGAATTTTGCAAGGCTCTGCTCTGAAAGGACTACTTCCTTTCCATTGCTTGTGAGGAAGCAAATCTGGGGTGTCACTTGCATGTTTGAGGGTAATGGTGGCAGAGAACAGCTTCTGGTCCAATTAGCTGGGTGAGCAGTTTCAGCTGCCTACAGAAATGCACTGACTGGCATGAGAGGCAGTGAGTATATTTCCACTCCCATAACATGTCCTTGTTTTAAGACAAGTGGGCAGAGCTTCCCGTGTGCCTTTGAGTAGGGCAGGCGACTGCCATAATGACATGCTGCTACCTGCAAAGGACTGCACCAGCGCTTTACCAGATAGAGCTTAACGGGGAGCTCTCCCATGCACAGAATCAGCATCTGCTAGGGAATGTCTTGCCTAGAAGACAGTGTGTGACAAATAAACCACATGACATTTCTGAAATCTCTAATACAACTGTCCTTCATATATCAAGAGCTCTGAACTCTAATCCTATCACTTATACTCACAGGACAGCACACGACCTTGACAGGTCTTAAAGCTGAGTCAAGAAGCTCCCCTTTGTTACACGGACTATGCTGAGTCACACGAGGCAGCCTCACACACTGGATCTCCCCAAATGCCGACTGTCTGGCTGCAGATCAGTGAACAGGTGCTGTCTTAGTTTCTGCAGGCCAGCCAGTGTGACCTGGAGTAAATTCAGGGCTAATCGAGGGGCCTTCCTCCTCATCATCCTTCTATACTCGTCCGTCCACTCCCTTCCAATGAGAGTTCAGGAGAGTTCAGAACCTGGGAACAGGGGTTGTGTGATGAGCTCGTCCCCACCCCACCACCTGCCCAGACAAATGACTGATCTGAAGAAACAGAGGAAAAGGCCAGACTCTGCCACACAGGCTACTTACTTGCAATTGTGCCGGCCCACCACACCACGTCTGTTAAATAGGAAGTACCTATAAAAGAATTAGATACAAATGTCATGGGAGTAGGCTTACAAGCTACCTCTGTGAGCAAGTAATAGGTTTACGAGCTACACATTTAAAAGAGAAAATTTTATATGAAAACTAAAATTGAAAAAATAAATGGCATACTGTTTATTCACCCTATAAAGAATCTTTAGTCTATAAACAGCAGCATGAGAAACCACTAAAAGTGGCAAAGACTTTTTTTTTTTTTGCAACCAACACAGGTTGAACCAAAAAAGCAAATGAGATCTTTATACATCGGCTTTCTTTGGCTCAGTAAGCTACTACGAGACACAAATACTCTTTGGAATGGAGCTTTATGTCGATTTCAAATGAGATCTAGTCTTTTAACATCCAATCCTCTCGCACATTTACTGTAACCTATTTATATGATAATTTTACTATCATAGGGCTCAATGATTTCCTGCTTAAACAAGTCACACAATCTTTATAATTATAACCTTTCTCATATGTCCCTTCTTTCAACCACTTGGGCATCAGATCTTACACTCACTGGGCCGGACTGGTGAACACCTGATGGTGATCTCATCACTTGGGCTCCTGAGTGCAATGCCCCTGGGCACAGACACACCTCCAGTGGGGCCCGCAGCTCTGCCTCTGCTGCCAGGATCCAGCAGAAGAAAAGGAACTGACACCGTTGGGATGCCTATCTGTGTCCTTCTGTGTCCACCCTGAGCCCAGGGTGTTCTGAGTCAGAAAGTTTAGCTAAGCATAAGAATGTCCTGTGGTGGGCCCTGCAAAACAGTTATCAGCTATTAGTACATAATAAATGTTAAATTTCCTGAATGAGGTAATCACACTGTGGCTATTTAAGAGAATGTTTCTGTACCCCCCAAAAAGCATGCTGAATAATTAAGAGGGAAAGGTCATGAGGTCCATGTCCAGAATACTGATGTGAGAAGCCCCATGGACCAGTTTCCCAGCAAAACCACCATAACTAATGAATATAGTATTTAAGAGATAAATGTAAAGTTTCTGCAAATTGTCTTAAGGCCATACAGCAAATATCTTTTTCATTCCTCATTTTAGTAATTTGAATCTTTTTTTTTTGCTTGGTCAGTCTAGCTAAAGATTTATCAATTTTATTGTTCTTTTCAAAGAGACAATTTTTGTTTTTGTTGATTTTCTTTATTATTTTTCTGTTGTGTCTCATTTATTTCTACTCATCGCTCATCATTTCCTTTGTGTTTTAGCTGCTCTTTTTATTCTACTGTCTTAAAGTGGATGATCAGGCTACTGATTTGATATCTTTTTAAAATTTTTATTTATTTATTATTATTATTTGCGGGGGTTGGCAACATTACTACAATTTTAATTTCAAAACAGTGAGGGGTGTACTGTAGATTGGATACTCTGGCCCCCCCACCCCCCAGGCAAAATCCCCACTGTAACTGTTGAGGGTGGAAAATCCTATTATGGTCATTGAAAGCTGGGGCCATGAAGAGGTGATTAGATAGTAGGACTATGCCATAGTGAATGGATTAACAATGGTGGTCAGCAGTGTGGTGTGGAGGGCTATAAAAGGAGAGAGAATGTTTCCCTCTGTTCTACCATTTTGCAATATGAGACTACTGGGTCACTGTCACCACCACCAAAACCCTCAGAAGATGTGTTCCCTGGACTTTGGACTTCCCAGCCTCAGAAACTATAAGCAACAAATTTTGTTTTCTTTATAAAATACCCAGTTTCAGGTATTTTGTTATAGGCAACAAATGGACTAATACTGGGTGTAAATATCTATCCCTGGACTTTGGACTTCCCAGCCTCAGAAACTATAAGCAACAAATTTTGTTTTCTTTATAAAATACCCAGTTTCAGGTATTTTGTTATAGGCAACAAATGGACTAATACTGGGTGTAAATATCTATATTAGTCTGTTTCTGTTGCTTATAACAAAATACCTGGAACTGGGTACTTTGTAAGAAAATGAAATTTATCACTCACAGTTTCAGAGACTGGAAAGTCCAAAGTCCAGGGAACACATCTGGTACCTCAGAATCACACCCATGACCACCATTATTAATCCATTCATTAGGAAATGGTCCTCAGAATCTAATTACCTTAAGGTCCCACCTTTCAATAACCATACTAGGACTTCCAACCCTCTTCACAGTCACACTGGGAATCAACCTTCTAATACAAAAAACTTGGGCAACACAATTCAATTCATATTAATATTCCAAGGAGATCTTTTCTTTTTTAAAAATAGGCATTTGCAGCTCAAAATTTTCCACCAAGCCCTGTTAGCTCTATCCCATAAATTTTAGTGTTTTGTTTCATCTTCATTCATCTCTAAGAATCTTCTAATGGCTCTTGTGATTTCTTCTTTGACTCACTGGCTATTTAAGAGCATGTTGTTTCATTTCTGCTTATTTGTGAATTTCCTGAATTTCATAAATTTCCCACTGTTATTGATTTCTAATTTCATTCAACTGTGGTTGGAACACATACCTTGTTGTTGTTGTTTTGTTTTGGTTTTTGTTTTTGGTGGCTAGCTGGTACAGGGCTGAACCATTGCCTTTGGTCTTATAACAAAAGCGTATACTTTGTATAATTTCAGTTCTTTGCAATTAATGCCTGTTTTATCACCTAGTATATGATCTATCCCAGAGAATGCTCTATGCCCACTTGAGGAAAATATGGATTGTGCTATTGTTGGGTGGAATGTTTTACAGATAGGTCTATTAGGTCTAGTTGGTTTACAGTGCTATAATCATGTGTTTTCTCATTGATCTGCCTAGGTTTTTTATCTTTTATTAAAAGTAGGGTATCAAGGTCACCAACTATTAGTGTTGGTTTGTCTATATCTCTTGACTGTCAGTTTTTGCTTCATGTATTTTGGGGCTCTGTTGTTAGGTGCATATATATTTTAAATTGTTATGTCTTCCTGATGGATGGATGATTTTATTATTATAAAATGTTCTCTTTGTCTCTAGTAACAATTTTTTTCCTAAAGTCTACTTCGTCTGGTATCAGTATAGCCACTCCAGCTTTCTTCTGTGTATAAGTATATATTCTTATTCATTATTTTAAATCATTGCCAACATATTTCATTCTGCAACATCTTTTTTTTTTCCTCTTTTCGTGACCGGTAACAGGATCGCAACCCTCAGTGTCACGCCCGTACCGCGACCGGCAACAGGATCACAACCCTCGGTGTCGTGCCCGCACCGCGCTCAACCAGTGAGCAGACCAGTCTCTATATGGGATCCGAACCCTCGGCGGGAGCGCCGCCACGCTCCCAAGCGCCGCACTCTACCGAGTGCGCCACCGGGCTGGCCGAATTCTGCAACATCTTGAAGCTCATTTTTATGGAAGATTTACACAGTAATTTATTCAATGGCTTTTTATAGGTCTGTATATAATATAAAAAAGATTACAGGGACTCTGGAATCAAGGAAATAGTCATAATCTTTCCTCTTAGTGTCTATGTTGAAGACAGGGAAGAGACAAAAAATTGTCTCCTTTTATTGTGATCAACATAGTTTGGTCATGAGTTCTTGTAAAGTCACAAGACCACTGAAAGCAGCAGCAGGACTGTGGGTGACCTTCCTGCAGTGAAAGTTGGTCCAAGGATGCCAGTGGCCAGCACAATGGGGCCCGAAGGCCCTCCCCTTCCACTGCTATGGTTTTCCCAACACCACTGACCATCACATAGCACATGCTTTTAGCAGTTTAAAACTAACCATGTTATCAAAATGGGGAGGAACCTGGGACACCAGGTACCTGGGAATGGGGAAGTGACAGTCCTCCATTTATGAAAGGGTCCAGGTCAGTCCAAGAATTTCAGGCCCTCCCACTCATACTCCCCAGCAAGACTCTGTATCTGCTGAATTTCAAAAGGTGTTTAGGTCACTCTCACTGTTTAAGGCAATATCAGGCAAAATTTTTCTGTTCCCACAGACATTAAACAAGTCAGATTCTTCTCTGTCTAGACACCTGCTCTGGACCCTTAGCTACAGAGTGAAGTGAAGTTCCTACATGTGGTCCCCAAGGGCCTCAGTCCAGGAGCATCCCCTGTGCTCCACCCCGAAGCAAGTGCATGGCTTTGTGTGCTATCCACCTGTGCCCAGCTTCCTCACTGGGCCTGCTACTCCAGAGTCCTTCCTCCCTTTTCACCCAGGAGCTGCTGGGAGCCTGCATTCCCTATCAGCCCCTGTCACAAATAGATATTTTCTGTTATGTCCTAAAACCACTGGGTTTCTTCATGGTTTCACCCTCAAGTATCACAATCTCTAAAGCTCCTAAAGTCACTCCTCTGGCACCCTCAAAAGTCACCTGTTCAAGCCAATGCCCATACTCCTCTTCCCAGCGAATGCCTGTCTCCATTACTCTTAGGCCCTCTGGTCTCAGCAAGAAGAGGGAGGACTTTCTGTTTGTTTCACTACACTCGTGCTTCCTCCCCCCACTCCTAGATGCAGGCTGCAGAGGTTATAGTAGCTAAGTTTCTAGGGCTTTTTCTCACATGGGAAACCTTGGATGCTAACTGAAAGCTGCATGGTTTTTATAATAGCTGAACTAAAAGACAAAGTAGTGTTTGTGTAAACACAAAAGACACTTGTTGGGATGATAATATCAACCAGCAGTGATGTTGTCCATCCATGCACTTATCACTTCTAAGACCTTCCATTTATTAAAATGTGTATCAGAAATGTCCTTAAAATGCGACTTTGTAGTACAGAAATATAGAAAGCCATGTAATTTATTTAACTTCTGATTATATCACAGAAAAATTAGTGCCACCCATGTGTGCTCCTAACAGCAACAATAAAAGCTGCTGCTAACAGCAGAGCAAGAGTGGATCACTACATCCTTTGTAAATTAATGCCTTGAGTTAAAAAATGGATGAAAAGATGCTACACGTTTTTTACAGAGTTCTTTGAAAAGGACTATGAGTCAAGAGATATTCTTTCCTGTCTGTGTCGGGGTAGGTGGGGGGTCCCTCTGAGTGGTCTAAAGGGGGAAGCCCTGTCCACTTCCCACAGC